CAACTTCATCCTCTTTACTGTTTCCAAGCTTTACGTCGGTGGGGAAATCACGATCAATTGCTCCGACGAGGTTTCTACATTGAAGCACTTTAATTAGGATTTTGTTTCTCCAGCTAGGTTCCAACGATCGCCAAATCAGAGGAGTATGGTTAGAATCAATGGCTAGTTTCCAATCTGTGTAAAAATCAAATCAGTGTGTTATGGAAGAACTCGAAATGTCTTTGATGTAAATGTTTTTTTGGTGTTGATTGTTAAAAAGTCAATGAAGAAGGCCATTGGTAAGTAAGACAACTTTGAATCCAGAAATTTATGATTGATGTTAATTTTGTAAAAAAAAATTATTGAATCGAAGAAGTGAAGATCCAATTTGAGTTGGGTTCTTGAGAGAGAGAGAGAGAGAGAGAGGGGGGAGAGAGAGAGAGAGAGACCCTTTACATATTGAATATATTTTTTTTCTATACATTTAAAATAAGAGAAAACCTCATAAATGGTCCCTGAGTATTGAAATGATGAAAATTCCCCTCACTTAACGGTAGAAAGTTGACGGAGTTAGGCGTAAGGACCAAGCATCAAAACGTTTTAAACCACAGGGACCACCTGTGAGGTTTTTTAAAATTAGGGACGAAACTTCAGATTTTGTGAAACCACGGGGACCATTTATGAAGTTTTGTCAAAATAAACATTAATGAAACAACATTGTTACCATCAAAGGATTCTAAAAGGAGGGAATCAAAGGTAATATGACATGATCGTCAGGTAATGGGCGATGGGAGGATGTGAAGGGAAGGGGTGGGGATGGTGGTGGCCTTATGATGTTGGGAGTGAGGTAAAGTTGTGGAGGTGGAGTCATGGTGTAAGGGAGGAGGTGAGGTAATAGAGGCATGTAGTGAATATGTTACAAGGCGCTACAGAAACACATTGATAATACCCAAACACACCAAATTTTGATTCATCCACTTGTTCGTATGCGCTAAACACAACACCTTCATGAAACCCACATTTCGATTCACCCACCGGTGGGTTCATAAATAAGTTATAAGGGTCACCAATTCAATAACATGCCCTTTTCCAACATCCATTTCCATAAAATTACTTCCAACAACCAAACACCTTCCAATAACCAAACCCACTCCAACCAAATGTGTAACCCCCTCCCCCAACAAGTTTACCATTCTCAAGTTCAACCTTGATATTGCCTATTTTACACAGTTATTTTGTGTGATATCATATACATTTATGATATGTTTTGATGTAATTTAGGACAAAATGTGCTTATAAGTACTTTGGATTGATATTTTGCAGATAATTAAGTTGCCAAAAATGAAAGGAAGCAAAATGGATGAAACTGGAGCTAGAATACAAGAAGTTGTGAAATTGTAGGAATGAAGAGGAACGTTTTGCGTCCATATTCTACACGTGCCATTTGGAGCTGGAATTACTTGATGAATACACATAATTTACTATAACACACTGCATCAACCTATTCTACGTGTCACATATATTGGTCGACATAAATATTTATAAATAAGCATTTATCTTTGATCTAATTATCCAATATTGGAGATAACATATCTTGAGGAACAAGAAATCTCGCAGCTACAATTTTGAGAGTCTAGAAGATGATCGGAGGGCCAGGAGGCATACATCACTACTAGAAAATCAGCCTTTTACGACGGATAATGTGTGTCAAGGAAGGCCCTGTCATAACGAGAGACGACACGCTTTTGCGCGTCGTCTATTTACGACACACATTTATGACGCGCGCTTACGACACGCAATGTGTGTGAAGGAAGGCCCTGTCATAAAGAAGATGACACGCATTTGCGTATCGTAAATTTACGACGCGTGTTTACGACTCGCATTACGTATCGTTAAAGCCCCTGTCATAAAGAAAGATGACACACATTTTTGCGTGTCATAATTTTAAATGTTTCAAAAAAATATATATTTTTATAGATTTACTAATTTTCAAATTAAATTAACATTTAACATCTCATAATACAAAATAAAATATCATATATAAAAATACAATCCATTGCACAAAATTAAATGTCATACAAATAATCGTTTTGATAGTAATAAATGTAATACAAGTGTGAAGGAGATGAAAATCATCAACAAATAATAGTAGAACCACAAGAACTTGGTCACCACCTTCACAACATCCGAGCTACTTTGCCTGACATTACGCACATCAACAAGACCTGTAAATTTGAATCATGCAACCATTAGATTCACATATTGAGAAATCAAAGTATACTATGTTATTTCTTACATTTAACCTTCTTATATGTAATAAGATGAAATGAAAGTAGGATGCTATAATAAACACTCATATATAGCTTAGTAGATTAAGTCTAGTGCACATTTAGTCTATTAAGGGAAATATTGGAGATTATGGCACTAGATGATAACATACCAAAAAAAAACTTTATCAATCAACTTTCTGCCATTTTAAACAAATCTCCACCGCCATAAATTCCTGAGTTCTGAAGCTTTCCCTGTATCCGAAACACAAATTGTATAAAAACCCATCATATTAAGTTGGCATCCACATCAACCAAGAGAAGAAAAATTATCTATTTATTGTGAAATCAGTTGCTAACTTGCTATATACAATATACAAAATGTTTAAAGAATGAAAGCTTTAATTAATAGTAAGAAAACAAATAACAAAATGAGGTAATAAGATAAATATATGCGAGTGAAGCACCCAATAAGACACTTACCTTATAATTAAGATGAGAAGGTGGAAGTAAGATAGACCTCAAGAAGAAACCGCATGCTAGGCATCTGTAACCAGCTAATCTGATGATCGCAAATTCTGTATACACTTTAACATTAATAACAAGGAATCAGATGAAAGAGAGCCTAGTGAATATGAGGGCTTCAAGTAGTCTAACATCACTTTTCATTGGCTCATTTAACTTGAAAAAAATTTCTTCAAGCTCCTTACCCTCAAGTTCTATTCCTGAACCATAGTCTTCTGAACTCCCCAGCAATATACACTGCAAGTTAAAACATATGGATCATTAGAAATCTTGGAAAAAGTGCAGGAGGGTAAATATGTAATAATGCATGCACCTGTGCATGATGAGTTTGAACCAAAGAAAGCAAATCTGGCCTTTTAATATCCTCATTACCACGTAAATTACCCCAAACTATAGGGACCATTCGTGTAATTTACTCTTGTTTATATTCCAAAGTCCAATTCCTTTGGCAGATTTACAAACCAAACAAAAATATACATCAAATGCAAACTAAGTTTAATTTTATATGGATTAGAAATCTGTTCACATTTCTTGTATACATTTTGTTATACAGTATGTATCAGAGGTTCATATTTTCAATGCAAGATATAGAGAGAAAATATGAGATATTGAAGGAGCTCGTGCTGCATTTCATCTTTGTGATACTTCTGAATCTGATTCATCTTTCATTAAAACCGCAATAAAAGAGGCTAATATGGAGAAACGTCTGGTAAACACAATCAATCATCAATCATGACTATTATTTTATTTGCATTTGTAGCACAAAAATGACTGTTTATATGTTATAATAAACAGGGAAATTTGGATACAACTTTGGACATTTATAAAAAAGCACTCAAAATGACAGCAGAAAAGGAGAAGATGCATATTATCCCTATTCTTTATATTCACTTTTTCCGCCTCAAATACCTGGTATGCATTGCATTTCTAACACTTATATAAATTTATTTATAACTGATTGTTGTGATTTCAAGAAATAAATGCTCCATGAAGCATTGTTATATCAGTTTTAATTTTTTTTATTATCGTATTTATTGCATGTTTGTAGATCACTAGTAGTGCAGATGCTGTAATGAACTTAGGGCCTGTTTGATTTCAACTTACCGGGTCCGGTCCGTGCTGACTGCTGACTGTTTGATAAATACAAAATATAGTTGATTCGGTCAGCATTCCAATTAACCTCGGTCAGCCAATCCACTTACCCGGTAAGCAAAAAAAAACTCCTGACTAAAAATAAGAAGCGTACCCTTGCTCGCCTCCAACTTCCTTCGCTGTTAACCTAGACAAAAGCGACACCTGCTGCAGCTGATCGCCTCCATCGCCAACAACTTCTTCGGTGATGATTACACAGCGTCATCCTCGATCTGCACCTCCTGCGCCATCTTTTCTACTGCAGGTAACGTTTTCTTGAGTGTTTTTTTTTGCTTTTTTTTATGACTTTACCCAAGTGCAGAAATCTACTGGTTTTGAAAATATAGAATCTTGATTTGATTCCATTGTCTTGTTTCAAATGGTCTTGAATGTGCATCTGTTTGTAAATCTATTTTTGGAGCAATGCCACTCTAAAATCTGCTAGAAAAGGGAGGAGATAAGTTGTGCACACAACGTGTTTGACAAAATGCCCAAGAGAGTGTTATATGCTTATGAGATCAAAATTTATTTGTATGAAATCAAAATTTATGTTGTATGAAATTTGTTAAGATAAGAAAGTGTTATATGCTGTGAATTTTGTTAAGATAAGAAATCAAAATTTGTTAAGATAAGAAAGTGTTATATGCTGTGAATTTGTTAAAATTTATTTGTATGAAATCAAAATTGATGTATGTTTAATTTGGATTTTATATGATAATTTGTGTTTTTATAATTTTTTTATTCAGCACAAGAGACAACACAAGGGTAATATGGTCATTTTTTCATTCAGCACAACCATTCAGATAAATAATCAAACAGCATAAACTCAGTCAGATATGGACTCAGTCAGCATTTCTAACCCAATCAGCTTCTAACCCAGTCAGCTCTAACCCAGTCAGCAACTATCAAACGACCCCTTACTAATAGCAGGTGTCCAATAAGTGCCTCATTCCATTCTTTGATACAATAGACCAAGTACATGACAAAATAATTTACCTTGGATAGAGCTTGACTAATAACAGTTTTCCCACAACCAAAGGCACTAGGATACACTAACATACCACAAGGGTAAAAGAGTAATTCAACATCTTGCTATCTCTATCGTCTTGCTTCGTTCAAAGTCTTACCCTCGAAAATTTCACAAAGCATCTGGTCAAGATCCTCTATTGAATACCTTATGTACTTATCGGGATTCTTCCCATTCTCAACAAGTGCCCTGTAAATGTAAAAAACTAGAAAAACAAAATATTTGTTTACTTTTTTCATTTATTTGAGCCTGAGAATTGAAATAGATCATATAAAAAATATGTACCCAAAACATTTAATGGAAAATCTGTATGCAGGCAACAAGACTTCAACAACTGCAACTCTGAGAGATTCTCTAAGCTCTGTGTCAGGAACGGTCCATTGAGATTGTCTTTGATGAAGCTCTTCAAACTGACCATTGAAGATCTTCAACCTAAAGTTAAACCACCACATTTCAATTTATATATCAACCAATTTTTTAATTTTTTTTAAAGATATAACAGATAGTTGAAAAGACAAACTTATCCTTTACAAGTGCTCGTGAAGCTCCACTGCTGTTACCAGCTCCATCACCACCAACAGAAATGTACAAACAGCCTCAAGATCAACTTCTAGATCCCTAAACTCAAAGGGCAAGTAATCAGGTGAAGTGTTACCAAACATGTCCCCTAAGGACCTATTTGAATTTCCCATTCGTCTGTTCAACTCTGCCCTTTTAGATTGCCACACCTCACCACCCCCTACAGCTTTCAATCGTCTTTTTAATTCCACCACATATTGTAACACATAGCTATCAAGAGAATTCAAAAGCAGAACTTCATCAGTTGTTATGATGCATCTATAAGGTTTATAGTTGATGCAGGTTTTGGTGGGAGGAGATGCTCTTTTAGTTCAGCCATTGTGCCTGATATCACAACAGATATAAAGTAACAAAAATAATAGACGAAAACAAAATATTTAAATATATAAAAACATATATATACCACTGAGATCATTTCAGGATATTCTTTCAGCAAATCCTCTAGAACAAGATCCAACACCTAATTCCATAATCAGTGACACAATGAAATCACAGTAAATACTATAAAAAAATCCAAGTAATTAACATAGAAACTGGCTATTATACCACAATTTTTTCGGATCCTCGAGATCCAGAAGCAGTATCGAATTTTTATAGCCTCAATTACTGAACTTGATAGATAAATTTCAACTTGCTAAAATTTGTTCAGAGATTAAATACGTCACAATGGAGGACGAGAAAAAAATAGATTATAATATTCACGTATATATAATTGGAAGATATATAGAAAAATCGAATAACCATCAACTGAACTTGTAGTTGCTTTCGAGAGAATCGGAGAAGAGGGAGAAGATGAAATTGAGATCACATAGTCTTCTACGAAGAAGGACTAGCGCTTCCTCTGCTATTCCCCGACCCATTGGGCTCATCCGTACACTTTCCTTTCCGGTAGACTTCAACTATGAATCCGGTGTGAGAATACAGGATTCTTGATTCCCAGGGTTATAAGAACTCGTAGAATCAAAATACCTATTTCCCCAAAATACATCTTCTCAAATACCAAGGCGCTTGCCCTTTTTCGTTTCTGAGCATCAAAAATGGGGTGAGCATGTATTTGGGTTTTCTGCAAAAGATGGAATCAAAGGAATTTGAGGTCAGGTGAGCATGAGATCGTCGATGAGGAGAATTCATAAACAAATGAGAATCAAGCTTTTCATTTCATACTTCATAGCAATAACTCATGGAATTCACAGAGCTTCATTAAGCCAAACCATAAAAGTGGATCCAGTTGTTTTAGCATTTTAAATATTGTGCTTCAATGATATCATAGCACCTATGGTGGTAAACCATTTAGACATCAGAGTCAAGAGACTACATAAATATATTATACACAAGTATATGAATCGACCTCAACGATGAACTCGACGAGTTTCCATCAAAAATATCTCTTTGACGACCGATTGGAAGGGACAAAGGAAAACATACGACATCGTTGTTGAGAAAAAAACGTATATGAGGGGAATGTCATGCAAGAACTTTCAAAATAAGTCGAAGAACATCTTTTCTAACTAGAGAAAAATTATACATTAAAAATGAAGTAAGAAAGGAACAACAAATACTTTTCAATCTACAAATTTTGAACATGACACACCAAACGGATCTTTTGTCGGAATACCTCTAAGTGTTTTTAATGGTCAAATGAAAAAATTTGTGAAAAATATACCGATTATTAATATTTATTTTTATATTAAGGCAATTTTTAATTTTTGATTAATGCAATTTTTATCTAGTTATATTGACATAGTTTTTATTTTTAAAATCAAGGTAGTTTTAAGTTTTATGTATTTTGTTTAGGTTTATTAATGTAATTTTTATTTGTTGTATCAATGAATTATTATTTAATTTTGGGAATGTAGTTTTTTATATAAAACAATATTTTTAAATTAAAAAAATACAAAGATGATGTAGAGTGGTGAATATTTTTCTAGGTTTGTGGTGTGAAAGTGGACATGAGGTGGTGTTGATGTGACAACACTTTTAGAATATATTGAGATTGTGTACCCATACCTAAAAGTTTTCCATTTGAGGCTAGAAAAAAGAAACCTTTCTGAAACAATTTTGCCACCATCAATGAGGTCTAAGAGGTGGGAATCAAATGGGAGACGAGAGGATCGTCAGGTGGTGTAAGAGGGGGATGGGACTTTAGGGGAAAAGGTGGGTATGGTGGTGACATTATGGTGTTGGGGATGAGTTAAGGCGGTCAGTTGGAGTTTTGCTGTAGGGGAGGGGGTGAGGCGACAAAGGCATGTCGTGGATGGTTTTGAAGTTGTCAGATGTGAAGTGCAGGGGCGTCTCTGAAGGGTAGGCGAATGAGCGACCGTACATGACCCACATGATAAGAGGGCCCGATTTTTTTTACACACACACACACACACACATATATATATATATATATATATATATATATATATATTATATATATATATATATATATATATTGTTGTAAATATTTGTTGGATGACATAATAATTAGTGCATGTTAAATTAGTCAATATTTTTAACTAGTTACAATTATATGTAGATTATGAATAGTAAAATTTGTAGTATAAATATACCTCCATTGTAAAGGGTGAAACACACCTAAAGTTACACTTTCATAAGTGATATAACTTTCATATCCTCTCTAAATATTCTTTCTTCTCAATTAAAGTTCTTATCAAGGTTACTAATTTGGTTTGGTTTAAAGTTACATATAATTACGCTTAATTTATAACACGTTATCAGCACGAAAGCTCTAATCTCTTCTATCAAACAAATCATTTTCAAGAAATCAAGCTTCAAGATGATTCACCCTTTTGTAATAATCATGACTATAATAGTCATATTACTTTTCATCCCAATCCTTAACATCGAAGATAATATGGAATTTCATCTAATTCTAGGCTTATATGCAATGTTAGCTTTACCTATTATTTTTTGTGTAATATTTATTTAAGTAGATGGTTTTTAATTTTCATCTTGCTATTTTGTTTAAAATTTATAGTTACAATATGTCCAACATTGCAAAGCTCAAGTTTGCAGCACTTGAAGTTAGTGGGAAAAACTATGTTCCATGGATGATAGATGTAAAAATGCATCTTGAGCCCACGAGAATCTCAAATGCTATATACGAATTTAATAATTGCTTGGCACAAGACAAAGTGAAAGCACAGGTTTTCCTTCGTAAGCATATTGATGAAATGTTGAGATTTGAATATCTTGATATTACTGACCCAAGTATTCTTTGGAATCTTTTGAAAGGAAGATTTGATCATCAAAAGGAAGTTATACTTCCAAATTCTAGATATGAATGGAGAACACCGAGGTTTCAAGAATTCAAGAAAGTAAATGAATACAACTCAACTTTATTCAGAAAATGTTCACAACTCAAGTATTATGGACAAGAAGTTACTGATGAAGATATGTTGGAGAAAACTTACTCCACATTTCATGCAACAAACATTACCTTGATGCAACAATATCGGATGCAAAAGTTCACAATATATTCTGCTGAATGCATATCTACTTGTTGCAGAGAAAAACAATGAACTTTTGATGAAAAACTATGAATCTCGTCTAATGGGATCAGTAGCACTTCCTGAAGCAAATGCTACAAATAATGATGGTCATCGAAACAATACACGTGGACGAGGGCGTGATTGTGGTCGAGGACGAGGCCGTGAGTATTTTAATCGAAACCAAAGCCATAATCAGAACCATAATTCTGGTCATGGAAAATGTAATAATCATGGTCGTGGCCAGAAAAGAAATAGTTACCAATCTTCACAAAGAAATAATGTCCATACACAAGACAAGGCCAAAGTGGAAGGCATGATGCTGGGACATCACACAAATCTGATGGTTCATGTTATAGATATGGTAGCATAGGTCATTGGTCAAGGACCTGTCGCACACATGCACATCTTTGTCAAATTTATCAAGAGTCCATTAAAGGAAAGGTAAAAGAAGCAATCCTCATTAAAATGTTGAATTCACTCTGCTAACTTTTGTTGATTTCTGCAATGACATGGAAGACATAAACTAAAAAAAATTATTATTGTTCTAGTATACCTGTTTTTCCTTCATTTGTTTTTCATGTAATGTCTTTCCTACAATAAATGAATTTTCTTTATAATAATTATTATGATTATGTTTATTCACTTATTATTTTTTTTCATATGTGAAGTTTAATATGAATCCAACTGGAGCACAACAACAAGAAAAAGTTGGAGATCTTTGTATAGCAGATAGTGGTAGTACGCATACTATTCTAAAATCAAAGAAATATTTTTCAAAATTAGTACCAACAAAAACAGTCATACATACAATATCAGGTCCTGCAGACTTGATAGAGGGAACTGGAAAAGCCCATTTTATATTACCAAATGGTACAAGCTTTTGTATAGAAAATGCCTTATTTTCTCCAAAGTCTAATAGAAACTTACTAATTTTCAATGACATATATTTCAAAGGATATGACACAAAAACTGTGACCATTGAAAATAAGAAATATATGTATATTATAGACAAAAACCATGTGCTTGAAAAACTACCAACACTTGATTCTGATCTGCATTATACATATATACATATGATTGAATCAAATATGGTAATCAAAGGAAAACATTGTGATCCCGGGACATTCAGTTTATGGTATGATAGGTTGGGTCACCCATCATTAACAATGATGCGAAGGATAATTGAGAATACGCATGGGCATCCATTTAAGGACCAAAATTTCCCTCAATTCAATAGCATAAAACCATGTACATCTTGTTCCCTTGGAAAGTTAATATAAAACATTCTCCAATGAAAGTTGAAAGGTAGTCACCTAGATTTCTAGAAAGAATTCAAAGTGATATATATGGACCGATTCACCCACCATCTGGACTATTTAGATACTTTATGGTCTTAATAGATGCATCCAACAAATGGTCTCATGTTTGCCTATTATCAACTCATAATATGGCATTTGCAAAGTTTCTTGCCCAAATTATTAAATTAAGGGAACATTTCCCTGATTATACTATCAAAAGAGTGAGACTTGATAATGCTGGTGAATTTACTTCACAAACATTTAATGACTATTGTATGTCTCTAGGAATTGTTATTCAGCATCCAGTTGCTCATGTAC